GGGAATTCTGGGAGTTGAAGTCCACTCATCTTAAAGTGGCCAAGTTTGGACAACACTGAAACTAACCTAAGGATTGTAGCCCTGGCTTTAGAAGAGCAAAATTCTATTTATGATGAATGGAGGAAGTATATTTTTAGAATGATAGTGAAAAAACCCTATAAATAGTGAGCAAGTGAATTCTCAAATCAAGAAACTGGTTGCTAAATTATTGTAACCAGCCTTTAGATAAGCTATTATTCAGTAGGCTCATCAGTTTCAGTATTCTTCTGTGGCATTGCAGTATTTTCGGTACTTGCTTCCTACGTATCTTCAGATTTTATTCATAGTGGTTCTTTTGTGGAGGGATGTAGGAGGGATAAAGAACATGAACCTAACCAGTGTGCACAGACAAAACACTATTTAGACATTAAAGTTGCAATTAAATATGCCTTATATTGTCCTGCTTGCTTTATTTCTGACCCTTGGCTGGGAGATTGATATGCATTGTCTCTTCAGTTCTTCCTGAATTATTCTAATGTTGTCTTTCGTTTTGGGTTTTTTGTTTTGTTTTGTCTTTTGTTGTTTTTGGTTGCTGGCTTGCTTGAATTATCATTTTCTTTTTTAAAATGCTGAAATAACATTAATAACAAAAAGAGGACAGTGTAATTAAGCCCCCTTCCAAAGGAATCAAACCTGACACTAGAGCTGTTCATCATTGATCTCCCATCAGAAAACAGTACAGTGGTACCTCTACTTACGAACTTAATCCGTTCCGTGACTGTGATCGCAAGTTGAGTTGGTCGCAAGTCGAAGTAAATTTTCCCATAAGGTTCAATGTAATTACCGTTAATCCGTTCCGGTGTCTGTGGACCATGTGTCAGGGGCGGAAAAACAGCCGCTGACCACACGGCAGGGCAGAAAAATGGCCATGGACCACGTGTCGGGGCGGAAAAATGGCTGCGGACCACATGGAACGGATGGAAAATGGCCGCGGACCACGTGGAACGGGCAGAAAAATGGCCGCGGACCACGTGGAACGGGCGGAAAATGGCCGTGGACCATGTGGAACAGTCAGAAAATGGCTGCAGACCATGTGGCATGGGCGGAAAAATGGCCACGGACCATGTGGAACAGGCGGGAAATGGCCGCGGACCACATGGAACGGGCGGAAAATGGCTGCGGATCCGGTTCGTAAGTCAAGGCGAGGTCGTAAGTAGAGGTACCACTGTAAACCAAGAAATTAAGCAGGATGGATCAGCAATCAATGCATTTATTTGAAGTTACTTCGACGGTTTATGCATAAAC